TATATATATATATATATATATATATATATATATATATAATCATATATATAATTATATATAATTATAAGTATATATATATATATATATATATATATATATATATATATATATATATATATATATATATATATATATATATATATATATATATATATATATATATATATATATTTATTAGTTTAAATTTTATCTAGTCAAAATTTTTGAACACATAAAGAATGTTGTATGAAATTTGAAATTTACCAATGAATATAAAATGTTGATAATAGTAAAAAAATTTAGTCAAGAAATAAAAAATAATGCATCAACTTTTTGTTCTCATGTTTGGGGCAGGTGCAGCTAAAATGTTTAATTTCTTTCTGTATGTATGTATGTGTGTGTGTGTGAGTGAGTGAGTGTGCGTGTGTTTGTATATATGTATGTATGATGTATGTATGTATGTATGTATGTATGTATGTATGTATGTATGTATGTATGTATGTATGTATGTATGTATGTATGTATGTATGTATGTATGTATGTATGTATGTTTTGAATTCTTTATGCTATTCTCTATGCTATTAATAAACTTATGTTTCTAAATGTTTTAAACTTTCCAATCCTTGAATTAGTTTTGAAATATTTTATTTAACTGTAGAATTCATCATACCAAACATTTATAGGTTATAAACAAAATAATGCTTTGTTTATGTTGGATACTGATTTTAATCTCAGAGAAATATGTTTCAAAGAATGAAGCAATTGAAAGAATGTAAGGTGTTTTTTTCCATCAATTAATGAATCCATGAATATTTTTGTTTTATTAACGTAATATAAACGTAACGCAACATAAACAAGGAGTTATTCATATTTCCACGTTTAAATTTACTAATTTAACGGATTTTTTTTTAAAAAAATTACCGGAATTGTTGATTTAACTTGTAATTGAGCTTAAAAAAAATTAAATATTAAAAAATAAAAATAACAAGCAAATAACTAAAGTCTGACAGCCTCGGAAAATAAGTTTTTGTTTCAACACTAAAACAGATGTATTTTGAAAAACCTAGTGACACAATTGAAAACAATAATCAATAAAAACTCTTTATCAACAAATATAATATGAGGATAAAGAAAAAAAAATTTTAATTCAACATTTTTTCAACCTTATTACCCCCTCTGCTTTAAAAAAATAATTTTTATATACTACTTTTAATTTTTTTTTACGAAATCGAACATTCCGTAAAAAAGTTTAACAAAAAAACAACGTGAGTGCATTTTACTGTATGGTTCCAGTCGAGGTTTTAGTTTTTAGTATAAATCCAGTCGAGGTTTTAGTATTTACCTAAATTAAATTGATTTTAAGTTAACTATTTTATAAAAAACGAGTTTAATTACTTTTAAAAACAATCAAATAATATTAGGGCAAACATTGAATTTTAACATGATACATCAATGTGGGTTATTTATTTATTGGGTTATTTGGGGTTATTTAACTTGATTCATTTTAAACGTTAATTTAGTAAAAAGGTACGCTTTACAGACTTTTTTTATTGTGATTTATACTCTTTGTAATAACGCGAATCTAGAATTATTTTCTAGCCGCAAAAGTATGTATTTTGCAGAATGTCCCGTAGAACGCGGCTTTATATAGCAGATGTTTATAAAATATGCATTATCTTGAAATTTTACAACGCTTAAAACTAGAAGAGAATTTCAATGAGTCATTTGATACTAGAAATCAAAAAAAAAAAACAAAAAAAAAAACACTGGTATTAAAAATACTATATATAAAAACGTTCTTTGTTTTCTGGAGACGTGATCAGTATTAAATATTTAAAAACTTGTTTAAAATTGTTCTTTTTTTTGTTAGTATTTTATTATCATTATTATAGTTGTTGTTGTTGTTGTTCTTATAGGAGCTGCAGTTATTGCAGTTTAGAAATTTACTTTTTTTATTGGTTGATTCGATCATTGTTTTTAAAATATATAATAACAACCAAACTTAGTAAAAAATTGATTCAGAAATAAGAAAACAAAACATTTTTTGATGCGTGATGTGTGACTGCAGAGTATTTATTAACTACCGCAACACAAAAAGTGAAATTCACGGTTTAAGTTATAAAGATTTGCCCGACGAACCAACTTTAAAGCAAATTCTGCAGGCTGCCATTGAATCCTTTAATAAACACGTTGACTCTCAGTGTTCTGCTTGCTGCATTGATAATGATTCTACTGATAAATATATAAGTGAAGAAGAAATGGCAAATTTTAATATCATAAAAAAAGATCGCAAAGAATCTGCAAACGAAGTTTTTTTAAAACTTATTCTCCCTGGAAACGAAAAGAAGATGAAGCAAGTTTATAACGAGTTTTTTAAACTACTGTATTTACAAGCAAATGGAAAATCGTATCTTATATTTTGATGAAATCTCTTATAAACGCTTCATTTTTACTTGTCATATTTTGCTTGTTGTAACAAAAGTAAAGAAAAAAGAAGATTCAAGTAAAAAGTAAAAGAAAATTAGGAGTATTTTTTTTTTTCCTTTCTTTTTTTCCGCGTTAATTCCGCATAGGGAGTAATGAAAACCAGTTTAAACAGTTTTGATGTTTTACCTGTTCTTAAAACGTAATAAAATTTATTGTACAATATAGGGTAAATGATCTATGCCATTTATCAATAGATAAATGGCCGTATCTATTAAATGGCCGTATCTATTAAACGGCATATATATTAATTTTAATTTTTTATTTAAAAAAACTTGTTCTTAGTCAATAGACTCTTTCCAGATGAAATTTAAAGTTAATTTATTCTCTCTTTTATCATTTTCATAATTTTATTCGGCATGAACGCATATCTGAATAGACTGCATATCTGAATATAGTTTATTTAGAAATGTGTTCATGTCAAATAAAATTATGGAATCATAAAATACAGAAGGAATTGAGAGCTTTAAAATCTTTAATATTTATAAAATAGAAATAGTATGTGGTAAAATAATGAAGATAAAACTCGTATTTTTTCTGCTTTAAAAAAAGAATTATAAACAATGTGGAACTTTAAAAAGTATACACTTTAGTAAGTTTTTACTGAAGTACTAAAGTTTATTTTTAGTATTTTACCACATATCACTTATATTTTATCACATATCACTTATATTTTACCACATATCACTTATATTTTATTATTTTTTTAACCTATATCACTTATATTTTATTATTTTTTAAGATCCAATTTTAAAGCTCTTAATTTCTTCTCCATTTTATAACCATAACTAATTGCTTTGTTTAACTATCCAGTCATTACTCAGTAGATTAATCAGATTTACTTTTGGATTTATTATTTGGCCACAACATAAGTATTAGGCAGCAGCAACAATGACAGGAGCATTCATCATTGAAAAACCTGTTAGAAAACCAAACTTTCTCTCTGCAGACTAGTAAGAAGAAAACCTTTGTTTTAAGCACACATCTGAATTTTTTCATCTTTATCAAGAGCAATTGATTCTAGGGTCTCAAGAATATGACTGTAGTTTTTATGTAGAATTTGAAATGGCTCTTGCTCGCCACTTTTTCCGACTTTTGCTGGTCCTGCTTTTTCCTGCACCACTTTTAAGACCAAAACAAATTATCTGCCTTCTGTGAGTTAAAGAAGCAAAGAGGTTTTATAGACATTAAAAAAACCTAAGAAAACCAAATGCTATTTCACAGCTGAAAACTTTTTTAATCTTTTCTTGATTGCATCTGTCATAGCCTTTCCATTATGTCCACAAAAGAGTCCCTAACTTAATGCAATTATTAACATCACAGTTAAACATCACTACAAAACTACAGTCATATTATTAAGACCCTAGAATCAGTTGTTCTTGATAAAGATGAGAATATTTATAAAATGATATTTAAAAATAAAACTATAGAAATATAGTAAAAAATTAATATGATGAAATTTTATATAGTAGACAAGTATTACTAATATAAAGTCAAATCTTAAAATACCAACATATTAATATAAAAATACTAATAATAAAAATTAAAAAACAAAACAAATTTATATAAAAAGTAATATAAAAGTTATACTCAATTAACTAATCTATAAAGTTTGTATATCTTAATATACAAACTTTTCATTAAAAATACTCAAATATGATAAAAAATTTCAAAAATGATAATTTATGTAATAATAGTTTCGCTACCTATAGATTCCAGAATATTTTTTGTCATAAAGAAGACGATTTTCTCATAAATTGTGAATAAAGTGTATGAAACATTTCCGTTACCCTAATTTTCTCAGTTTTATAAGTATTTAGCAAGAAATGGGTCAAATTTTGAAGAGAACTCCAATGCCTTGAGAAAGATTCCATTACTAAAGACGTCTATTTCATTTGAATTATCTCTAAGAGTTAGACTTTTACTGCACAGAAACTGCATTTAACAACTCTTCTTAGATCATCCCTTTAGTTAACAGTTTTTTCTTAACATCTCTTTTTAGATCATCCCTTTAGTTAACAGTCTTTTCTTAACAATTCTTCTTAGATCATCCCTTTAGTTAACAGTCTTTACTTAACAATTCTTCTTAGATCATCCCTTTAGTTAACAGTCTTTTCTTAACAACTCTTCATAGATCATCCCTTTAGTTAACAGTCTTTTCTTAACAACTCTTCTTAGATCATCCCTTTAATAACGATTTTCTTTATTCAACTGCTGTTTCTAATACTTCCTTTTATTGTGAAATTTTCAAAATGGTACTGGAATGCATCAGTGAGATGTTTACTTTGTTCATGCCTCTGGATAGAATGCTGTCCGTGTGATCAGTCATTGAACCCTGTTCTGAAGTTGTGATCTAAATTTTGAAAGAGCAACAGAAAAAACTATTTTTCCAGTGAATGGTGAATAAATTAGCTCTTTCGAACTTTACCATTTTTCAACTTGATAAAAAAATAGTTTAGAGAAATATGCTTTTGGCTTTTTTTTTGTTATTATTTTGAAAATATTTGTCTGCAACATTTTGATCCGAAATTTCTTTTTTAGAAATCCAGTAGCTTTGCACTTCATTTGAATTTTTTCACAATCCTGGGTCAGATTGATGTATTGAAAAACTTAACTAAATCAAAAAAATAACTGTGTAGTTATTTCTTTTTTTTGTTTGTTTTAATTTTTTTATTTAAAAAGTAACTTATTGATCAAAATTTGTTAAATTTCAATTCATAACATAACTCAAACTATGCTTATACAATAAAATATGCTTTTTTAGCCGTTTTTTAATTAAAAAAAAATACATATGTTTATTACGTTACAAAAACCTAAAAGTAAAAATATACAAATGACAAAAACACACTGGAAGCCATAAAGCCAACTACAACAACAGATTGACATGCTGACTATCTTATCCCACTCATATTTAACGTATTAAAAAGCTGTACATTTTATGCATTTTTAACCCCTTGCAGTAGTAATAAAGAGGCCCAAAAAAATCCATAACTTCAGTGGCATATATACTTAAAAAGGGGGCCCCTACTTAGACTATATTTTTCGGGGGCCACTCGTGCGCACTGATTAATAAGGCATCGCTTATGACAACAAAATGTCTAAATTGAGATATAACGTCTAAATTAACATGTTTAATGATTTTTATTGTTGTTTGTTAATATTTCTATACTTTTTAAGTTTATAGCTAATGCGGTTTAAAAAAATTATACGAAATATTTTATTAAGACTAAGAGTAGCTCTAATTAATATGAGAAAAAATAATTTATCAGTTTATTGTGCGCCAAAAAAATACCGAATACTCGAGATTTTAAAAAAGCATTTAAAAGATAAAAAAAAAATGACAAACAAAATAGAGGAGTTTGAAGTGTAATGATAAAGGAAGAGGAGAAATCAATAGTCGATTGGTTTGTAAGATGTACAAAACTTGTTAAAAACAAAAATTGACAGGAGAAGTTAATGAAAACAGTGTCTGAAATACTGATTTTAAAAATTATGTGGCCGTGGCGCAGTGGTAAGCAAACGAGCTCTGGACATTTTTTTGTGTCACGGTAGGGAAGGAGGCGTCAACTTTCTGGTTAAATACACTTCCTCGGTGCTCTGTAACGGTCTTCTTGGGGTAGCTAAATAACAAAAATTAAAAAAAACGACAATTCTTCACCTAAGTTTAAAAATGCACTATTCCAGATAAAAATATTTTAGGGCGTAACATTAAGAAAATCATTAAATTTAGCAGCCAATCAGAATCAATGAGTTGAGCAGCTGCTGATGTTTCGACAGGTCAAATTGAGGATTTTTTAAGCATTTTTTTCGTAGAAAGCAACTATTTAGAGCATTTAAACAGGTCAAGTGCTTGGATAAAGCTAGCTTCGAGCTAAATCCAGGACTTAATAATATTTTTTCTAAAAAAGGAAGTTCTCGTATTTACTTAGTCAATTCTGCAAGAGGAATAGAAAATATCAGTGTTAACAATTTTTTTTTTTACCGATGGACAAAAGTCTCAATCTCAAATCATATTTAAAAATTCATTATTTCGGATACAAGATGTCGTTTATTCTTGTAGTGAAATTGGTGCCAATTTTCTTTATACTCAAACTCTAAATGGATGTCAAATAAAACAAACTGAGTTCTATTTAACTTATCAAGTAAAAAATATCTTCATGACATCATTTAAACTGTACTTTGTACTTTTTTTTCATTCATTTTAATTTTCCTATATTTCATTCATTTTAATTTTACTATTTTTCATTCATTTTAATTGAATAATAAACTATTATTATTTATAAAAATATTTGGTCACGCGTAAAAATATTTAAACGCGCGTAAAAAGTGTTTTTGTGCCATTAAATGCAATGGTTATTATTGTAAAATGTAATGATTATTATTATAGGTCTCGAAAGTTAAACACACAGTGTCTCCCATCTGTACCAACAGACTCTGTCTCCCCTATGCATATTTAATCTCATTTACTATTTGTAAACGTATATTTGAAAAATTATCATGCTTTAGAAGACGTAACATTCTTAAGTGCATTGTTTTTTATAACGTAACGACTGTAACGTAAAAAATTAATTTGATTTGTTTACGACTAAAAGTTTTTTTAAACTTGAAAAAACAACTTATATTATAGCCAAAAAATCAAATTAAAGTCAAAAAATACATTTTTATGGCCAAAAATTAAATCGCATTACAAAATGAAAAAATTTGTCAAATTTTATAACTAAATTTAGGAAAAAAGAATATAAGTAATAAATTAGACTCAGTTTTATCGTCTGTACTTTTCATCGAGTAATTAAAATGCTATTAAAACTTTTCTGATGGAAAAAGCGACTGTGGCCATTTAATAGATCGTTTACCCTAAACACGATATATTGTAATTGCAATATAGTTTGTTTAAAAATATTTTCATTTATCAATAATAACAGTTTTTGACACCCCTCTTTTTCCTTTTTTCTTGTTTTTTGTTTTTCTTTCAAATTTGTTTCGGTGTTGCAGTTCTATTTTTTAAAGGAGCGGCAAATTTAATGATTTGGCGGAATA